TGCCACTAAAATGGTCTACAGCAATTTTTTCCTGAGAGCTTTAGTGCCATGACATGTTTTTCTGCTTACTTAGCATAGGAGCATAGTGATTTGAGTCAATCTTTTGCAGCTAATTTATTTGTCTTTGAGGTAAAAATACTTTCTTACTCGTTTTTTTTTAGGCCTATCATATGTTCTGAACAGGCTCTAGGCATGCATATTATCTTCATCATTTGACTTAGGTGCTTTTATTTATACGTTAGTGCTATTCCATTAGTTTACTGCCAAATTCAAGCATTTGAAATGCACATGCTTGTCATGCCCCTTCGTTTTAATACACAATTAAAAAATGCCCCAAAAAACAAGCTTCCTTTGGTTTATATCCTTTAGTGATTTGAGTTTTCATGGATCAAACTTGTAATCTCTCCTTTGCTATCAGTTTGTTGTTGTTTTTAACTCAGGCATACTATTATGCCTCTGGGATAAGAGGTCACATAAAAAGGACTAATAAAAATTATATATATTTAACACTTTTTGAAACTCAGGAAGAGCTATGTGTTCAGTTTCAACATAAAAAAGCTCTTTAAAAAAAACAAAAACAAAAACGCACACAAAAAAAAACCCACACCAAAAAAAAAAACTAAAAGAACACTTTATTCTGTAGAAATTATGTAAAATTCACGTTTCCCAAGGATCAAATTCCTCTGTAGGTAAAATTTGCCAGGTTGAGTTCTGCCTTCTGCAGAAATTTAATAGAATTTAATGAGGAGACTTGACTACAGAAGGCCTTCAAGGACAGCAGCTACGGTGATTCTGGAAAAGTTGCCAAGGCAGGTAGGGTAACATGGGCTCTCCTGTGTAATTTTCTAGGTGATTTTGTGGTAGTTGTTTCATCCAGAAAAGATCATGCAATAGCCACTCTTTTCACCTACAGCCCACAAAATAAAGAGCTCTTTCATGCAGTATGGTAAGCACCAGAACAAAGACAACTTATGATCATTGGTCTGCCAAGGCTGAATCTGAAACAAGCAAGCGAAACCAATTGAGAGTGATAAGGTCAAAGCTGACAGTGGAGTGATGGGCCAGTTTCTGCCATGCCTTTGTTTTAAGTCTGCGTTTTACTGAAGTGTGGTGAGCCCCTGAAGATCTTGAGAAGGGAATACAGTGCTTGATCAAAGAAAGTGAATAATGTTGCCACAAATTTCAGCTTGAATAATTAAAACATAGACAATAGTATTGTAGTTCATTTTATGTATTGAAAGGAAAAATTAACTGAATGAAATATGAAACCTTTCGTATTTGTCTTCGTTGCTGTCCTGGGTTCAGCAGTAGCAGTCATTTTTCCCCTTCTTGGTAGCTGGTGTAGTGCAGTGTTTTGACTTTCAGCTCAGGAACAGAGCTGATAACAAGGATGTTTTGGTTTGGCCAAGGACTTTGTGAGCCTCATGCTCTGCCAGGGAGGAGGGGAAGCCCGGAGGAAGCAGAGACAGGACACCTGACCCAAACTGACCACAGAGGTATTCCATACCACAGCACGTCATGCCCAGGATGTAACTGGGAGTTACCCAGAAGGGCTGGGAGACTGCAGGGTTGAAAGGAAGATGATGTAATTTCCTTTATCATTATTATCACTGGTGGTAGCATAGTGATTTGTGTTATACCTATGTTCTTAAACCTTTGCATTCTTTTCGTAGCAGGGGGAGGGCAAGAAAGGGGGGTGAAGTGAGCGAACGAATTACCTGACTGAGTTTAAACCACGACAGTTGCCTAAACTGACAGTTACCTTGTGGGTTGAAGTGAATTTTGAGACATTTGCTGTCCTTTGACCACAAGGAAAAGTGTGGCACAGCCTGTGTTAAATAGTAAGACATACCTAGTCCTGAACAGTAGAAAAGCAAAAGATCATGAGCAAGTCAAACACTGGGAAGCTCACCCTCTTTTTGTTGTAACTTACAGTGCGGACACATTGGCGATGGGAAGGGACGCTTTGCATACCTTGATCTTCACAGCTTTGACAGCTGAATAGTAATCTTTCATGTGAATTGCAAACTGCTCTGTCCTTCACTGTAAATGGGAGTAAATTAAATCAGTTGCATCTAAGTAATAAAATAAAACTCCAGTGATTGTAATACAGCACTAGTAATGAGTAAAAAGCAGATTTTATCAAAGTTTATCATGATAACTTATTTCGAAAGCAAATACCACTTACATAAGTTGAAATACAATTTATGTGTATAATTACTAACATTCAGTGAGCCTAGAAGTGCTTGGAGATTCTGTTAAGTATCTCGCCACTTGCTGATTATCTCAGCTATGTGGTATTATTTCCCTCTTTATACTTCCCTGCAATCCTTGCTCTCTATTTTCTGGCAATCAGCTGCCTCTCTTTGTTCCTCTGACTCTCAGCAGGGCTCCTCTCTGTCATCCAGTATCTGGGAGATCTGAGTGCTTATCATGCTGCACCTAGCTACCCTGTTACCTCTCTCAAATTTCCTGCACAAAACTTCTGGAGGCTTATCTGGTGCTTTTGGATGTTTATTTGAAATTTATGGATTGTTGGGGTTTCCCAAATGAAATTTCCAGGAACAAATAATAATGCCAAATACCACTCCAGCATATTTCCCTAACTTCATTAGAATTGGGGGCTGTTTGAAGTTTTAATTCTCCTTTGCAGTATCAAAGACCCAACTGGCAGAGAAGAGATTCTTACTTTGAAGCAGCTTTTCTTAATCAAATTGGAAGCTATCCAGAACACTTCTTCATTTAGAGCCGCAAACGCAATTCATCCAGTTCACAGTAAGGCCATGTAGCTATATATCTAGAAGTCTGCATCTTTAGAAAGGAAAGTGTGCAGATGGGTTTCTGTATCAGCAGATAAAAGAGAAAATCTGTGGAGTAATTAGGAAAGAAACTCCACATTTTTCAATGAGATAAAAATGAAATTTTATACAGAATAGACCGATTGTTCTACAAATTCATGATTTTTCCCAATTCTGAAAAAATTACTTGTCTCTTTTTAAATATGTGAGCATCATCCCCCAGAAATTCAACTTCATTGGAAGCTAGAATTCCTACTCTGAAAGGTGGGTAAATCCCACTCAAAAAACTAATTGTTCCATTTTATGAACTATGGTGGCAATTTTCATACGACCCTCAGAGAGCTTCTTTGTTGGCTTTCTTGACTTGTGGCACTTGTGAGATCATGTGAAAAAGCTGAACATGTTAATAGTGAGGCTGAACAAATACTGTCTCACAGCAGTGGTTAATGTGAAGGAAAACACACCAATTAGAGAATGCACAATTTCTTGTTACAATATGCTGACTTATTCCTATATCCAAGCTTAAGGTCTCCCTAAGTATTTTAGACGTGGAGTGGCAAAAGGAACAGTGCCTAAAGTAGGCTAAATTTCTTGAAACTTCAGCAGTGAAATAACATCAGTTAAGACCAGGATATGCATTAATGTTGAAAATTGTAGAATACCCATCTATTGGTTCTGCTGGCATAAGAAGTCCCCTCTTCAGTAGCAGAACAGTTGAAAAAATAAGACCTGTTAATATCTATTTACTTTCTTATGCAATGGAGTTCTTTCTGGCCTATGGCATTATTGGACTGTCAGCTTTTTCAAGATCATGTTACCGAGTAAAGTAAGTGCCCTGGTACATGGTTTGATCACTGCAGAAAGTCTTACACAGCATGTTGTAGTGTTTCAAAGCTTGATATACGTAATTGTTATTTTGGGGTTATGTTACAGTGGCGTCCCTAGTTTCCAGGTGGGAGTGGTGTTTTGTGAAATGTATGAGGTATTTTACTTTCACATCAAATTGAAGAGGATGTACAAACCAAGCATTTCTTCCAAACCTTTCTCTAAAGATCTGCCATTTTCCTTATTTTCCTTGTTCCAGTTTCCTGGGGTTTTTTGTTTTATTTTGTTTTTTTACCAATATGAATTTCTTTTCAACAGGAATTAGTTTAATGACCTATTTCATATCTGACACTGAACAGCTGTCAGGTGATGAAATTTTCTGCAGTGATCTGTTCTGGATTCACTGCAATAGAGACCGTGACTGTCTACCATTACCAGTTTCCATGAATATTTGATTACTCTAAGGAAAAGCTCTGATTCTTTATTTATCAAATAACCCTTTGCTAACAGACTAGGAAAAAGTGAATCATGGGGACATGAGCATAGAAAAAAATATTTTTTCTTAAGAAACATACAAATTAATAGATTTAAAAAATAGCTATAAAATGCTTCTTTTGAAGAAGAAATATAAGCACTTTTGACCAATGAATTTGGGGAACTTGAATTCAATGCTCAATGTAAAAAAAAAATCTCTTGACTAGCTTTTTTGAAATTCTCTGCCACAGTGGTACATTTCTTTTATGGGATCCTCACTTGCAGACACTGCCAGATCAGCATTCTGGTAGAGGTTGATTCAGAATTCATCCTCAAAGTTGAGTTTATTCAAAATAGTTTCTTCTAGATGGCTATGAAAATAGTCTTCAGAGGCTTTGTATATTTCATAGGTTGTGTAGAAGTTGGTTTATGGAAAAGATTAATTTATTGGTTCCTAGGATTATTTTTATTTTCATAATACTGAGCTATTGTATTGTTCCATAATTATTTGTATATAATACTCCCTCACATTTGCATTGATCCTTTTTTTAAATTTATTTTAAATATTATTGTTTCATTTAGTTAGCTTTTCTATGATATAAAAAAAAAAAAACAAGAAATTGGTGTTTTGGTAGGTAAACTTGCTAAACATTTACCCCTTTTACCTTTCTTCATTAAGTGGAAATTGGTACATGCAGAGTTGGACTAAGATACGTATTTCAAGATAACTAATGACACTTTTCTTTGTTCTTTTTTGTATTACTTCTTTGTAAAACTGCAGGAAGAAGAAATACTCATTTTCAAAGTATGACATAATGCAGAATCTGTTTTGAGTCTATAGATAACATAGCATAGAGTGGAACAGCAAAAGCTTTCATTTTTCTCTTTTTTCTCTCTTTACAGATGGACCCAATTCAAAAAGCTGTAATAAATCATACGTTCGGGGTTCCTCTTCCTCATCGAAGAAAGCAAATCATATCATGCAACATTTGCCAGCTGAGATTTAATTCTGATGTAAGTTGATCATTTTGTATCAGATTAGAAATGTGTACTTATCTTCTAGGATGTGCCATAATTTGCATAAATTGAAACTAAATGAAACGTTGTGATTTCAGTTTGTGGCTCAGCAGATGAAAAGGCTGTAGGATGCTTCAAATAAACACAATTATTTGCTAATGTTTATACACCCGGCCAGATTTTCCCTGCGGATATATCCCTGCAAACTCATCAACTTCTGTTGTGCTGCACAGAGTCTAAATAGGAAAATGGACTGATCCGTTGCTGCTAATAAGGCTGAAATATTTGCTGGGTCCTAGTTCTTCTAGTCCTAGTCCTGGTTACGTTTGCCTCCCTTTTCAGCCTGCAAATGTTAGAAATTATTCAGATATACATAAGAGTCCTTGTGAATCTACCTTCCTTCTTCTACTGTTATAGCAATATCTATATTTAAAATATATTTATTTGTATATATTTATTATATTTATATATTTAATATAATTATATATTTATATAACAGATATAGCAATATCTGTTTAGCCAGAATTGAATTTTAATGTTCCTGTCCTGCCAGTAAAAGCTATCAAAAACCCAGGCTACTCCTCTAGCAGTGAAACAGAGCGAGCTGAACTGGAGATGGTCTGTAATACACAGAGGAAATCCATCCCTTATAATTACCCAAGGAAGCTGTGCTGTTGTGCTCCTTGTAAAGAAATACTTGTTCTGTCACAGAAGGGCCTCTTAGAAATAACTCCTTTATTTCCTTCTTCAGTATCACTATGAGTACAGACAAAACCTGACATAGTACAACATATATTCTTCTGCTACTCTAGTCTCTCCAGGAAGTTTCTTGACATAAACATTGCTGGTGAAAATTTATCTCCCCTTACCAAATGTCTTTCATTTACTACCTGTTTAACTGATACAGATAAGGTCGTTACTTCTGACAGAATAAAAATGTTTGAATTTAGAGTGATGTCTAACCCAAAAACATCCATAAGGTTATTTCCTTCATATGAAGAAGTGAAATAATTCTTGTGTGCTGCTCCTTCTTTGTAGGCCTATGGACAGATTATATCTATTTTTAGTTTATTAATTAGTTATTAATACCATGACTTGTCAAAAACTTAAATTGAACATTGAAGCCTTCTTTTAAAGATTACTACCAGGGTATGAATATAATGCAGTTCTCTTCATTCCCTAAGCTTTTTATTCCTTAGAAGTAATTTTAACAAGATACCAGTCACAATTTCCAGGCCAGTCAGTATCAGGTGCTTATTTTCACTGATGACTCCAAGTTTTCTAGTTCGTGGATTGAATGGACGCCAAGGAAGGGTAATGCATTCTCTGGAGCTGCTGTCCTCCTCACAAATAAAAACAGAAGAGTCAAATTAGGCTCTTCCATTTGGAAACCAAGTACTGGAATTAGAACTGTGAATACTGACCCATTCATGTGGAGGGAACGTTAGAGGCTTTTGGGCCACAGTGGATCTCACTGACTGAGCAGCCCAGCTCATCATTTACAGTTCTCAGCTTTGTCTTAGGAAAAAGCATGCCACACAGAATCATACATAGTTTGTAGCTTGCAAGGGGCATGAAACACTTCAATGTTATATACCAAAGTGAAACATATCCTTTCAAAGAGCGTATAGCATTTGTTAGTCTGCAGAAAGACCCAGACAAAAACGAGGATGAACATGGCATTAAAATTAGTCATTAGCAGATACACAACTCGGATTGATACACAGAGTGGAAATTTTTTGAGCTGACAGGAGATAGGCATTTTCTAGAATAAAGTGTTTGAAATAATTCTACACAAAAGCAAATATCACATCAGTGGATCCTGATACTTCTTACTCAGAGATTTGGTATACTCCCATACTGATCTTTTTCTGCTGCTCTTAGAGAAAATTCCAAAGAAGAGAGGGCGAAGAAGCAGTGGCTTTTCAGAGTCTTCTATGGTGTCAAAAAATTTTAGAGGAGATCTATTAATTTAGTCTCTTCACACCAAACTCTTGGGTGAAAAGCTGTTAAGCAGATATTTAGTTGTCCCTTCATACCTTCAAGTGATAAAGGTTTGAACTTCAATTTGCCAGTACTATTTGGTGGAAAGTTGTTTTAACGCTCCTGTCTCTCAAAGTAGATCAATATGGTTAACTTTATGGAATTGGGAGACCTTCTTGCTGAGAATATTTCTGTTTCCACTTTTAATATTCATCTAATTTTCAAAGCAATCCCAGTGATGCTGATAGAGAGGTTGTGATCCAAAAGCTGCCCACTGATGAACCTGGGACGATTGCTCTCCCCCTTTTCCCTACCCCACAGAGGAGATTTGTGGATATCTTTATGATGGTCTCTTCTCCTTCCAGTGCATATAGTTATTACTGCTGTAAATCACAAAGTGCTCTGCTGAGGCTTTACAAGAAATTATAAGTACTCAGAGTTCCACTGCAGTTTAGAAATGCTTTTCTGTAGTGTGAGGGGAATAAGAAGCGTTCCTCCTTTGCTTGAGTAATTCTGAATGTCCACCAGTTTTTAAAGTAAAAATGTGATAAACTGAAGATTTGATGTTGAGACTTAAAGATTGCTTTGAAGAAAAAGAGCTACTAGCTATCATTTTTTGATTACTATATGAACAAGCACACACATTGTAATTTTTTTCTCTTATTATTATGAAGTTTAAATTTACTGAATCTTCCTACCTTTCACTTTCATCATATTTTGTTTAACATGATTTAAAACCATAACGACAATAAACAGATTTTCTGTTTAGAAACCCAGGGCTTTGTGGATGTTCTACCAATATGTCTTTATTTTTAGATGCTGGAGATAGGATTTATCCAAGAGTAATGAATAGAAATTCCATTTACCTACCGCATGACAGTATTATGAAAATGTTTACAATAAAACTATTCTGTGAGATTTTTCATTTTTGCAAAGAATACAGAATTTTCTCCCATTTGATACAGATTTCTTTCAGGACAGAAGAGGTTTTTTTCTGGTTGCATGGTATCAAAATAACGTTTCAAAGAAAAATGAGAAAATGCAATGCATAGTCTAAAATCGTTTAGCTTCTTTCTAAAGGAGTTATCTATAAATCTTCATGACAGCTGTGTGTTCAGTATTTCTTTTTAAAATAAATCTTCTCATACAAGGGAAGGGAGGAATAAGCAAGTAACCAAAGGCTCTCCATGCTGAGAAAAAACATTAGAACAGCAGAAGTAGCTTCTGTGGAGTCCATTTCAAGCAGTAATTTTTTTTTTTTTTTTTTTTTTTCATTGAAAGAGATCTATTTGTAACATTCACATTCTGCGTTCACTACAGGGCAAAGCATTTAGGTATGTGCCTAGCTGCGAGTGTGCGTGTTGCCACTTAGACTTTGGCAGCTGCTGATAGCTATTGCACCAGTTCAGAAGAACTGTTAGATTTATGCTTTGTAGCAAACATTAAACATCTGCTAAAAGCACCCTGTAAAATGAAGTCTTGCTGACTCCTCATGTGGACAGCAGGACACCTCATGTGCCTACAGGTATCAGTAAGAGTAAATTATATGCTGTAATGGGCAATCAGTAAAACAAACAAACCAACCCCAAACAAGAAACCAAAACAACCCCAAGGCTTGGAAACAATTTTTAATCGTTTTTTATGACCTGTCTAGACTATTTGATCTTCCTTTGCTCTCATTTCTAATTTCATTATTTGATAAGGGTAGTGACAATCTCTGTTAACAGGGTCATTCTTGCAAAGGCATTCTCTCTCTTCCCTTTTGTGTAATGCAGATGGCTGAATGATAATCCAGCTTGCCTTTAGAGAAAGTTTGAGCAGCATTTTTATGTACTCACAGGATTTGAATTCCATTATGATACACTGTAAAATATTTCTAGGTATATTAGCCAGAAATTGTTGTTTCATTTAAATAGCACCACTAGTAATATTCTCATGAGCTGAATGCTGATTGTGGAGTCCTTATTTGTTGTTTTTTCACCTTGTTTTTCACCATCTCTATAAAGCCAAGAGTACTGCTGAATCGATACATAGTTCAAGTGTGCGAAGTTGGAAGGATTCATAAAGTGCTATTCCAGTAAAAGAATAGCAAAATATTTTTTTGGAGGTTAAGGATGCAATATAGACCCAAAGTATTTTACTATGGTTCTGAGTTTCATGCAGAAAGAAGCAGGACCAGAGGACTTATGTCCTATTTAGGTTATGCTTGGTATCTAGAACAAATGTTTTCAGCATCAATTTGTAAGCACCTAGGGGATAATACGGTGCCAAGAAACAGGCAACATGAATTTGTCAGGAACAAATCGTGTCAACCCAATCTAATTTTCTCCTTTGACAGAGTAATTGGTCTAATGGATAAAAGGGAATATGTGATATATTTTGGCTTTAATAAGGTCTGATACAGTCCTGTGTGACAGTCAAGTAAGTAGGGAATATGGGCCAGCTGAAATTATTAAAAGTTGGTTGCACAACAAATTGAAAAACTGTACTGAGAGTAGTTGCTGATGGTTTCCTGTCAAAACAAAAGATCACTACAAGTCAGGATCTGCAGGTGTCTGTTCTGTACTTGCTGCCACTCAAAATTTTCATTAGCAATGCACCTGACAGACTAGAAAGTACATACACCAGGTCTGCGGATGACACATATATGGAGGGTGACAGCACTTGGTGGAAGCTGTCAAGTTCAGAATTGCAGTCCAAAATTATCTTCACCAGTTGGAGAAAAGAGTCTGGAATCCCAACAATTACAGTAAGTAAAAGCATTAATGATTGTGCTTAGACTGGAAAAATTAAATGGTACAAGTAAATAAAATGAGAAATATCTGCCTTAAGGGCCAAAAAGGAATTACAGTGAATCACAATTGAAGTATACATTAACAATTGCTAATAGGGAAAGAAAATAAAAACAAAACCACCCACATAATCCTATATTGTTTTTTTTTTTCCCCAATGAGTGTTGCCTTTATCGATAGACAGGTAAGTATTCCACAGTATTTGAAATTGGCAGTGCTTCA